TTCTTCTTTTCTTCTTCTTTTCTTCTTCTTTTCTTCTTCTTTTCTTCTTCTTTTCTTCTCCTTCTCTGGATGTCAAGGCGAATGGCAGTTTAGAAAAATGTCAAGTTGAAAAAGCCATTGCCATTTGAGTGGACACTGAAGGCAACATCTGAACTTGGGACTCTGCATCTAGCAAATCCATAGGACAAGGGGTAATGGTACAAGTCGAAAAACAGGCAGTTCCATCTCCGTGTGAGGAAGAACTTCCTTGCTGTGAGGGTGCCCGAGCCCTGGCACAGGCTGCCTAGGGAGGTTGCGGAGGCTCCTGCTCTGGAGATCTTCCCAACCCACCTGGACGCAACCGGGTGCCCTGTGCTCTGGGTGTCCCTGCTGGAGCAGGGGTTCGACTGGATGATGTCCAGAGGTCCTTTCCAACCTCAACCCTTCCGTGACGCTGTGAATCCCAGCTGCGGAGGGGCAGCAATTCCATCTCCATGAGCTTTGAGAGGTTACAGTTACCTGCGAGCAGAGCTGGTGGACGCGTGTCGCCTCTTACGGACCTCCACGCTGGCTTAAACCACCAGCAAAGAGCCCGTGTTGGGACATCAGCACAACCTGCACAAGTTTTGGGCATGTTCTGTGGCACTTAAACAGCCTTGGGAGAGGAGGATTTCCAGAAATAGCCTGGGCTCCATCTGACCCAGACCTTCAAAACACCATCAATAGCTTGAGCAGCAACACAAAGGCTCCTAGAAACTGTGGCAATAACCTGGCTTCTATCTTTACAGTTTGCCTGACTTCAACAGACAAACAAGAGCACCGTTGCACAGATGCCCTGGTATTCATTCAGCTGCTGGAAGAGGCCCATGCTCTGCTCAGGCACACTGGGAGGTGAAGCACTGCTTGAGAACATCCACAGCTCTAGCTCTTGGTGGGGATCAAAGCAAACCAAGGATTCAAAGCTACATCACCCGTCCCAGCTCGCCTGCAAGCTATTGATAGCTCTGCTTCCTCTCACGGAGCCTTTCCCAAACCACACTGTTCCCATGAGAGTCCCTGCTGCTCTTGGGACACAGCACTTGCTCTCGCAAGTCTCAATTCCTGATTTTAGAGCCCAATTGAAAAAAAAAATCCTAAATCCAGCAAGAAAAGACTTTCTAGTCTTCAAACATTAAGTCTTTCTCTGGAAAGAAAAAAAAAAAGTGTAGAGCAATCCTGCTTCCATGGTTTATGGTGTGAAACATACAGAAGCTACTGGGGTGCCCAAGTATCCACTGCCAAGGAGAGGCCCCGTCTGCCTCCCCACTGCAACGAGCTGACAAACAGCCACTGGAGTAAAACCCAGAGAAAGCTGCCACTGCCCAAGGGATGGCCCAGACCACAGCTGCTCTCACCCCATTTGTGCCTTTAATAGTTTGGAAAAGGGGGGGTTAAGGAACTAGAAATCAGCACTACCTTCACAGCGAACAACTTGACACAAGCCGGGCTTCACCCGGCAGGCCACGCACTTGATATAAGAGGACAGTTTCAACACAGATTTTGTAGAAAGRTCTCAGAAGTCTTGCAGCTCTTGGAAAAATCATCAGGACTGCAGATACAACAACTGTCTGACTATCTGTTTGGGCACTTGTGAACCTTGCAACCAAATCTCTTTCAGAAAGTCATAAAGAAACTAAGTTGTCAGGGGCTAAGAGGGAAAAATCTCCAACAGACCAGGAACTCCTTGAGAACACAGGATGATAAAGGCAAACTCTCACTGCTTTTATTTTTTTCCCCAGCAAATAAAGAGGGCACTGTGGAATTGCATGATTTCTACTTGTACCTGGCTATTGAACATTGAAGTAGTCTGGGAAAGCGGTGCCAAAGCTTGCTCATAGACACTTGTGCTGGGCAACCAACGTCTCTGCAATTTTCACTGAAGGACTTCAAACCAACTGGACTCCGTGAGCAGAGAAAAGACCCAAAGCCTAGAAACCGAGCAAGGCATTCGGGAAACAGAGAGAACTGTCAGCAATGGCCTGCTCTAATTCAGCACGTTGGACCGGAACACCTGAGCACCTGCGGATAAATCTCTGCAAGTAACTGCTCAAGAACAGGCAACACGGAAACGGTTTGATTACAGCTAAGATTCACTTGCCACATGGCATGAGAAACATTATCACTGTTGTAAAAATAGCATAGGAAAAAAAAAAGAAGAGATGTTTGCTTCCCAAGCAGAGTTTTACAGGCTGTAAAAGCAAGGAACATCTCATCTGCTTCCTTTTATTGCTCAAATAAATGCTGAAGTCCAAAACAGAGAAGATAAGAGTGAAAGAAACTGTTACTTAGGCCAAGTTGCTTTGCAGAATTACTCTTCATGTTCGATACTGTGCTATTTGTAACTGCTGCCTATTTTAAAACGCTTTAACTAAAAAAAGCCTGAAACACTYGGGCTGTAACTTAGACCAGGCTCTTTCAAAGCTCAAGTCTTTAGGACGTAAGGGCATTCATAAAAATACTTCTGTATTTATTTCTGGAACAAAGCCTCATCTCCAGCATAGCTTCCAGGTAGAGGCTTTTCCCAACACAAGCATTCCTTGCTCCGGGGAGCATGCAAAGCCGACCATTTCCAAGATCCAACAGGATTATCAGCAGTGAGCTAAGGAGCAGGAAGAAAATCCTGCTGCTCCTTAGCCCATGGCTCTTAAGGCAAGTATGAAAGAATGAGCTGTGAAATGCAATCTCAATTTGCAAATCTATCAGGAAACACCTGATGCTTCTCCCTCGCGTCACTTGACTGAATCTGGAGCTCGGAGCCTGTCATTTAGAGGGTGATGGAGCAAGGGAAAGGTTTGCCCAGAGAGGTCATGGAGACTCCATCCTTGGAGAGATTCAAGTGCCGCCTGGGCACAATCCTGGACAATGTGCCCTGGAGGATCCTGCTTGAGCAGAGGGTTGGATTAGCTGATCTCCAGAGGTTCCTTCTAACCTCAGCCATTCTGGGAACTCAGAATTCAGCAGAACGAGCTAGCATCATCAACACAAGCTTCAGGCAGCACATGACAAACACCGTCTGCAAACAGAAATTCACGGGAGTCTCCACCACAACTACTAAGCTCCACCGAAGAACGTGGCCAACACTGCATCTACTGAAGACAGATTACACACCTAGAGCCCAAATACTTGTCACTCCGCTGAAACAGTGTTTCCCAACTTCAGCAGAAGTTATAAAGAGAAGTGAAACAAGCACTTAGGCAGGCAACTATTTCCCCACTTACATTTCCTCTTTTCCGTGTCAGAAAGCCCTGTGATTTAAGCTTTCTGTCAGAGTGCCTCTTTTGCCCATAAGAGCTCAGCTCATTCTAGAARGAGGGAAAAAAAATGGAAATTGAGCTTGTTTGTTTCTCTCAACAGTCAAGTTTTCTGCAGTCCAAACGAGCTAAGTAGCTAAGTTGGTCATCTCTCAAAATGGCAGCACCACTTTTATCCCAAGCCACACATTTTGGTGGGCAGACTATCTCAGTCCCAAAGCCKGCTACGCTGCAGTTAGTTAGATTAGCCTTTCACCTTATGCAGAAGCCAGAGAGATTGGTAAAGAAACCATTATCATAAAATTCTACTGAAATCTGTTACGAGGAAGAGAAGAAAACTGAAAAACACGAGTGTTACCTCCCATCTCTTGGTCAAGTGGAGGGTCATCATCTGCCATGGAGAAGTCCAGAGATGTTCCTGCTATTTCTACCATATCTTCATCGCTAGTGCTGCTCTGGTAACTTCCTCGCCGATAACCTTTCTGATCCATGGCTGGAGCACCCAGACCTGGAGTAAAAGGAAATATTTTAGAGCACAAGAACAGAGAKCCATCCTCTAGGCCGAGTGGACGAATGACTCCCAGATGAGTTCTCACAATGGTTTTCCTATTGCCACGCGCCAGAGGCGAAACACAAGGTCAGAAGACACATTTAAACCTGCTTGCAGAGGCACCAGTATCGGGACATGCATGTTTTTACAAAGAGCACAGGTTTAAGCATCTTTTTAYGCCCATGCAAAGACACGGAAAGGAGACTGCACGCACGCGTCCTTCACTAAGCTGGAAAGAGAAAGGGGTCCTCCGCCCTGGCCTGCAGATGGGARCTATTCATGGCCTGAAGGGTTCTTGCCTCCTAAAGCCGTGCGCCTACTGCAAGTGTCCACAGCTAGCCGTGGTGCCCTGGGCCATGTTACTTGCCACTGTTTTCAGAACCTCCATTCCTTCCTCCAAATGCAAGCGCCAACAGAGATGTCAGAGTGGTCATTCTGCAAATCATCAGACAAAGTTCAAGCTCTCATTACAATGTAAGCCCCCAGATATATTCTCAAACACAGAAATGGCCTCAATTCCCCACATAAYGTTCTCCTCTATGGGAAAACAGTTGCGTTTCTAAGTTCTCGGACTAAATGGCCTCTCAAGGTAGGACACTTTTCTTTTCCGTGCTCTCAACAGGTTTGCAAGCAGCTTTTCTGCCTATTTTACCTTCTACACCAGGTCCACATGTATTGTTAGACTGCCACAAAAAACTCAGAACAGAAGCACTGGTGCTGAAATGGCCACATCACCCTCTCCAGACACATCCAAACAAGCAGCAACAGCCCAAATGGGGAAAATCGGGGTCTCAGCCTCAGATCTAGCTCTCGCAGCCTCAAAATGGGATTTTTKGCACCTTAATAAGAGGCCTTTTTCTTCCCTCCCTTGCAACATTGACATTATTTTCCAGGTGAATTACAAAGGAACTAGATATGCAGCTCAGCCTTATTTCGGGAAGGCAATGGGGTGGGGGAGTTAAAGAAAAATGAAGAGCCAGCATTTGCAGGCAGTGTGAAYGACGGTCTGCAGAAAGCACTTCCCATTACAAGAAGAAAACCCCACGCTATGCAAAAAGCCCTCGGCATCGTCCAGCGAAGCGACACGCCGACCTCTTTGCTGAGAGCTACTCTTTGGAACACAACGTTGCKCAACTTTCAAATCCTGTTTACCCATTGAACTCCTGCAGGACAGCAGGGCCGATCTGAACTCTGCAAGGAGAAGACTTGACAAAGAGAAGGAAGGGAAGCACTGAAACAAGTCGGGCCTCCGTCGCGGCGCCGTTCCGTGGCCGGCACCCGTTTCACCGACCRTCTAACACAGATTGAGAGATATTTTCCAACGTGATTGCGTGCATATATATAAGGAGGGGGGTAGAAGTGCTGTCTACTCATACATTCTCTTTGCATTACTGACACAAATTCATAATCTTGTTGGAGGTCTTGCTAGCACCCCCACGCACGCAGTTGGAAGAGCAATCCGGAAGCGGAGCAGTTCCTGCTACCAGGCTCGCTAAGCCCGAGTTCCCTCTCGTTTACTAACACCTAAAAACAACAACCATTCTATTAAAAAGCTCAAACACTGCATCTTCAAGTCCCAGCGCGCTCCAGGCAGCACCCGGCCTTCTTGCAGCGGGAAAAGGACAGGGAAGCAGGCTGGGAATTGCCGCTTTCCTCCAGAAACCCTGGGGTTGTCACCAGAGACCCAGGTCAGCACAGAGCGAGGTGACGCGCCGAGGTTTCGCGCCCGCCGTCCCTGCGGCACCGACCTGGCTCCRTGCGAAGGCTCGGCGCCCACGGCCGCGCCCGTGTCCTCATGCTGGCTTGGAGCGCTCCCCACGGCATGGCGGCCGCCATCCTCGCCGCCATCCTCGCCCCGACGGCCCCTTCCTCCTCGCTCCGCGCGGCTCCTTCGTCCGCCCGCGCCCAAGAGCAGAGGGAAGTGATGGGGCCAAACGCCGAGCGCTCCGTCCCGCGATGCCTCGAGTGACTCAGAGGGCAGCGGCGGTGGCCAGGAAGGCCGGGGCAGCTCGAGGGGGCGCAGGGCGAGCCCGGGGCGCCCTCGCCACACGCGGGCCGTCCCTCCGGCCGCGGCAGGGCCCGCGCGTGACGTGGGCTGGGAAGCTCATGGGGTAGGTGCACAACCGTCACAGCACGAAGGCAAGCGTGGCTTTAGAAACACCGCGAAGGCAAGCGTGGCTTCAAAGGAGCGGAGTCGCCTGGAGGCGCCGCTCTGGGAGCCGCTCTCCCGGGCCAGCTCCCCACCTAGCGGCCGCTTCATTCCAAAGCCCAAAGGCCACAGCAGAAAATGTCCCACACGCTTCCAGGCTGGGCTTACATGGGCTTCCAGGCTGGGCTTACATGGATTTACTGCCCCACAGGGCTACCTTCAAACAATCTTCATTTCCAAGCAAAGCAGCTTCCTCTGGACTCAACCAATTTCGATGTATTGACAGACTATGAAAGTGGCTTTTGACCCACCTTGTATCACAAACCCCAAAAACAGACAATCCAGGCAATCCCAGGGCTGTAAATGATAAGGAGCAAGGGAATCGGAGCAATGGGGGTGACACACAAAGTCCCTGGGGGAGATAAACTACTGATTAGTCCCCAAGAGAGATCCGAGCCTTTCTCATGGTGTCCAAAGCGACTAAAATCAAATTTCCTTTACATATAGATGAAGCCAGACCAGATGAGCTGAAAATTCAGAGGACTTTATCCAAGTTTTAGTTTTCTTTGGGTGCAGTAGGTGACACACCAAGCTCTTCAGAGAGAAAATGTTCTCACTACTTTAAAAGCTGACGTTAGTAATGACTTATTTTCACAAACAGAGCACAAATCACCTTGTAGAAGGGTGTAATAACGCAAAGATTATATATAAAAATCCTTTTTGTTATTGTATATTAAAACATTTATTTTCATATATCCACTTCTCACTCACTCTCTGCCACCTATAAGGAACCCTGAGGAAAAACTGGCTGGGTTTAGGTTTTATCTTTGTTTTCTCAAGAGGAAGACCAACTCCTGGAGACCTCTTTTGCTGTTTTCATTACGATCAAGGTGAAACTGCTCACCACCACCAACACAAGAAGCCTTAAGAGCTCCAAATTATTCAGGTTTTAGGTCTGAAGATATCCCTACTGCTTCTAGAGGATTAAACAAAATGTGTCTTGCAACGACAAGACCTCGTTATTCAGACGACCACTGAAAAGCCTCCAGAGCGGCTCCACCGCAGTGTCTACAGGAATACCCTAACCCGCACTGCGGACACTCACCTGGGGACTGTGAGAAAACTTATTTGCCACTAATTTTTCTTTTCCCCACCAACACCTGGGAACTACCTACCTCATGAAGGCAGTGTGCAACTTTGCCATTTTTTTTTTTAAGATAAATTTTGACAGTCTTCAGACACAAGCACCACATGTGCAGCTCCTCATCTCCACGCGTGAACATATTTAACCCAAGAAAATCAYGTGGGAATGCACTCCTCGCATGTTCCGAGGGGAAAACAAAGGACAACGGGCAGAACAGGACGGGAATTGTGGCAACATCTGGCTTTCCGATGGGAGGAGCCAGGGCAAGGCTGAACTCCAAGGGGCCAGGCCTGTCAGAGCCAATGCAGAGCAGCGGGGAACTGAGTCACGCGCCTGCTGTACTCACACACACGGAGCCAGGATCCTCCCGCTCCCACCCTCAGCTTTCCAGACACCTCTGGGGAAGGTATCACCAGTTCTCCGCGGCCTGCCTTTGGGAGCTTAGCAGCAAAAAGGCACGGAAAAAAACAGTGCAGGAGCGGTAGGCAGAGCTCCRACTGAAGCCAAGAACTGCAGGGCCTTATTCTCCGCCTCATGAAACAGCCCTGCAGCTTTAGCTAAACCGTAGCAGCTGCTCCGGCGTCTCCAGCAAACGCTCCTCTCCCTTCTGCCAGGAAGACGCTGGTTTTGTGACACCAGCCAGGGCATCCATCCCAACCTTGGGGCCGCTCTCCGCAGAGGCGATTGCCCTGAAGCAGTGGGGAAAGGGCAGCGCTTTGTGTCCTGCCCATCCCCAAACGCACCCTGAACCTTACCCGGGCTGAGGCCGCATGAACACAGGGTGCTGATGGAGACGGGCCCCAGCTCCGCAGTGAGATACACAGGATTTCAGGGAAGGGAAGATAAGAATCTTCACACCTAATTCAAAGCTGGCGTTAGTCCTGTCAAAGGCATTTGCTAGAAGAAACACTGCTGAGCACAAGCCCAGATCAGCTCTAAGCGGCTGCATCGAGCCGGCTTATCCAGGAAACCCTGTTCCTTYTCCCTCCTTCCTGCACAGGCTCCTCTGAGCGGGTTTGATTTTTTCCCCCTTTTTTTACCAGGAGTACCCAAACACAAGGGCGTGAAGATGCTTGTTTCAAGGTACAGATGCCACCTTCACCCTGCACTTCAGCTTCCCAACAGTCCCTTCTGCTCCCAAAGTCACAGGCTCCTCATTTCTCCTCCTGGACTAGACAGCTCTGCTCCCGACGTCTACATCCCAATCTACGTGGCAGGAAGTGATTCAGGAGAGAAGAACCACAGCAAAGCAAGGCCAGGCCCTGTGCACTTGGCCGGTCACATTTCCAGGGGTCATTATAATCTGTTCCTGCCTTGTGGTGTTAATCATGGACTTCTGAGCGCCTTGGGGTCCAGACTCGCTTCCTGTTTAGACGTCCTCTATATAATAAGGTCTGTGTATTTCCAATCCACTCCCTTACTGCTAGCCTTGCCTGAGGGTGGCTTCTCTTCCTCATCCTCACTATCTATAGAAAAGCCATACATACACTATAGGAAAGCCATACAAGAACATCCACGGGCCTCAACATGGACAAGGAACCTTTAGGGATTGTAGCAGGAAAGGGGCCTTCCAGCAGAGCCCTGCTCTTCTCGTGCATCTCATCAGAAGGACTGGAGCTGTCATCGTTCAGACACGGATTCAAGTCAGAGCACTAGTGTTTATAG